AGAGCCAGCTGTCAATCACGCAGCTGGGTGGATTTTGACAGAGCTGTAGCTTGCTATATACAGAGCTTTGGGTCACGGGAGGACTCTAGTTTATATGTCCTCCCGTGACCCTTAGGAGAACTATGGGGAAAAGCACTGACCCCCATAGTTCTCCTTTAATGTACTGCAATGGACTATCTTCGTATGAATCAGCCCCATATGTTCGAAAAATCTATTGATCCAACAATTCATATATCACTGACGAGATTTCCACAAGAGCTCCTATTGATTGTTGTCATCTCAGACATCTGCCTTAATCTCTGACCTCTTTTACAGAATATTTGATACATGGATGGCAGCGCATCTCTCCGGCCTCGAATATCCCGACAACGATCAGCCGGGACAAAACACCACCGACTGCGTCACTCCCTTCATTCCTTGTTATAGGAACGGAGACCTTCTTAACCCCTCGATAGATTTCGGATATGTATTTGGATCTGAATTTCCTGAACTCAAAACTGATGAGCTGACAACCTTCAATGGTGATAATTTCCAACCCAACACAAACAACACTTCTAATAATCAGAAGGACCTCACAGGGATCTCAGAAGGTAGCGGGGGAGGAACAAAGGCTTACCATGACCAGCTCTGTCCTAATGAAAATTGTCATGATGTTTATGTTTCGACTACTGAAAGTAAAACATAAGAAGATGATGATTGGAATAAATATCCATCAGAAATATTTATCAATGCGTGTGTTTAATTTAAGTTGTGACCTTCAATCAGGGCCAGATTTACTCTCTGCTGCCCCAAGGCCAGGTTCCTCAATGCGCCCCCTTGTATGCATGCTGCATACAAGTGATCTCGTCGACATCGCTGAGATCACTTGTACAGAACAAGCGGCGGCGTCCCTGCTGTACATTTAGCTCTGCTTGCCCAAAGCACAGCTACATGTAGAACACAACTACCCGCCCAGCGCCCAGAACGGCATGTCCCCGGCGTTGGTAGATAGGAATTACACACCCCTGCTGCCCCTCTACTCCCTGCTGCCCCAAGGCTGGACCTCAGTTGGCCTTGTGGGAAATCCGGCCCTGCCTTCAATATGAGATGCCAGAGAGAGAGTGGTGGCTTATGGAAGGACTCCTGGACAGAAGAACCACAATGTTCTTACAGGTTTTATGATATACCAACTAATATGGACATCGGTGGGAACAGAATCAATGTGATGATGTGTTCCAACCTGGAGTGCAGGGTCATATGTCATAAGCAAATTACCAATAAAGAAAAACACTTTCAAGCAGAACTATGGGGTTAGGGCTTTTCCCCATAGTTCTCCTTAGGGTAACGGGAGGACACAAACTAGCATCCTCCCGTTACCCTAAGCTCAGTATATAGGGAGCTACAGCTCACGCTATACTGAGACGCCGCAGCCGGATCGGATCCCGACCTGGACGTCGGGATCCGCCCAGCTGCGTGAGTGACAGCTGGCTCTGCCTATCTAGAGGCAGAGCCAGCTGTACCCACCCCCTCCCCCGTCCGTTCTGCCAGTCAGCGCTGGCAGATCGGAGCGGGGAGAGGGGAATCCAGCCCCTCCCCTGTCACGTCAGAGAGCCATCATCTCATAGTTCGCCTTTAATAACCTCTATTTATGATGAGTAAAGAAGTACATTTTTCAAAAAAATGTGGGGGAGCATTTTTTCCCAAGCCCCCCAGGTACAGGTTGGCATACAATGGGGCACATGTGGTGCCCATCACCTGAACCAGGAGGTGTGGTGCTTCATCAAAGAGAAACACATTGTAGGGGAAGATTTAATCAGAACTAGAGCAGACAGAATCTGGAGCTGTTGCCCATAGTAACCAATCAGCTTCAGTTTGTCCAATTAAGTGTTGAAAACTAAATATAGAAGCCGATTGGTTGCCATGTTCCAGATTTTGTCTGTTCCAGTTTTAAAAGAAAATCTTCCTCAAGTGTTTCAAAAGTTTAACAGGGTAAGTCAAAACAAATTACTGAAGATTTGTCTCACTTAATGTCAAATAATTATCAATGTGAACCTCCTTCCGGAGGAAGGAGGTCCTCCATCCATATTCTTTACAGGATACATCTGACCGGTCAGAGATCAATCTCCCCAAAAGGGACGGTCCTTTGTTAACAATGTAGCCAATTTTAGAGGAAGTTGCAGACAAAAACATTTATTTGTCTTATAGTTTTCAAACTTATGAAACATTGTTGACCATGTCTCTAAGACTTTGACCTCACGTTCACGAAGAGTGATATGGGAAAGACTAAAGCACCATCAACACAAGACGCTTCAGACTTGTTCATAATTGCTGGTCAAGGCAAATTAAAAAGCAGAATATATATATACACACATATATTATATTTTATAATATATATATATATATATATTATTAGGGGTGCACCAATATATCGGCCACCGAAACAAATTCGGACGAAAATGGCAGTTTTGGCATAATGCCAAAAGTGCAATTTTCTGGCTGAAATAGTGGCGCATCCCTGCTTTCTCTCCTCCCCGCTGGGCGCTGCTCTGTGTCCCAGCAGGGAGGAGAGAAACTGTCACAGGCGGCCGAGCGCTGCGCAGCGTTTCTCCTCCCCGCACTGCTCAGCCTCCTGTGATAGATCAGGATGAGAGCAGTATGGGTGGAGAGGCTGGGCTCTGCTCGCTCAGCCTCCCGTGGCAGCTGTCAGAGAGGAGAGTTTTCAAGGATCACCTAAAGGTGGACAGCGTAGGAGACAAGTGGACAGATTGGGGTAGAGAGTTCCAGAAGATGGGAGACACCCTGCAGAAGTCCTGGAGGTGAGCATGGGAGGAGGTGACGAGAGAGCTGGAGGTCTTGAGAGGAAAGGTGAGGATGGTTTGGGTGATATTTTGAGATGAGGTTGGAGATGTAGTCAGGGGCAGAGTTGTAGATGACTTTGTATCTTGTTATTGTTTGTATTTTGAATTGTATGCGTTGGGAAAGTGGGAGCCAGTGGAGGGATTGGCAGAGAGGGGCAGGGAATGTAAGCCAGTAGAGGGATTGGCAGAGAGGTGCAGGGAATGGAAGCCAGAGGAGGGATTGGCAGAGAGGGGCAGGGAATGGAAGCCAGTAGAGGGATTGGCAGAGAGGGGCAGGGAATGGAAGCCAGAGGAGGGATTGGCAGAGAGGAGTGGGGAATGGAAGCCAGTCGAGATATTGGCAGAGAGGGGC